TTAGAAAGGTTACACGGTGATCGCTTGTTTGTTTCGCTCTGTGTTGTGCTTTTATCCGTGTCCTCACATAGTCACTCGCTTTTGAAATCGGATCGGATAATATTTCATGATTTGCGCAACTTGAATTCCCTCAACGTGACACAAAACTGTTCCATCCCCGGTTTGTATTGTATGCGATACTTCTGTTGTTAACGGTAGTTCAACCGTATAATGATGGCACTCCTGCTGTGCAATTCAGGTCTCCTCAGTGCTGGAACAATTGCAACTTCCAAATAGTTTTGATGCTGGGTTGATTGGCTACCGACCGCTGATAGTGTGGTTCGTGGGTTCGGCTAATTGGTTGCGCTTACAGTTCAACTTTTAAACATTTCGTTGTCAGACTAGACAACGTCATCATCAGAGATGCGAAACACGACGTTGGGAAACCCGTCTGCAAATCACTGATAAACACCACACACTGTCTACGCAACATGGGGTTTCCTCCGCTTAGAATTTAAATATATTTCTGTCAATGCGCAAAACAGTTAATGATGCACTGACGATTCCTGTGTGGTTAATTTGGCTACCACTTTTGGTTAGTCAGACAATGGAACAAATGGCATGGCCGAATGAAACCCAAAGCGGTTGGAGTTGATTGAAAAGTCTGAATAGTCCGGGGATGCTAAATCAAATGATTAATGTGTGTTATGTCAAACATTTACCAAAATTTACGTTGCGGTTATTATCAGATTATTTGACTACTGCATTATACACAAAATATCGATAGTTCATTTGTCGTATACCTAAAATCGTTTGAATGAGGTTTTTGCTATTCATTCCCATCATTCTACTCTCTTCAGTGCCTCATCCAGTTGGGTCGCGCTCTACGTCTCCAAAGTGAGCATCTGATTCCAGATGGTCCTCTGCTGTGGTTCTCTGTCCCCGGACAAGAAGACAGCGAGGAACCAGGAGAAGTCGGTGATCAGAACACTCAGGCACTCGGTGGCAAAACCCCAAGCACAATAAACGAATTACATTTGGGCTCTCGATGGCGTTCTCGAGAGGATGTCCTTGCCGATTTGGTAATCATGATGATCTGACTTTACGGGGAAAATCCAATTTCATTTGGTTATCTTTTCTCATGCGAATTCACCTCACTGTTCCAACTGATTGCATAAAAATGTTTCAGTGCAAGTATTTAGCGGATTTAACCCAAATATGTGTATTAGATTAACTATTATTGACTGATAATCAAAAGTCAAGTAGTAAAACCCATTTGGAACACATATGTCATATACGGTAGATACCTTTTTATACCGGTTTGAGAACAAGCACTGTGCTAATAGAACAATGAAAAGGAGCTGTTTTGCGGTCAATGAAACCTGCAGATGCTTGATTAGGAAATTGAAACACTTTCCGCCGAGTTACGCAATTCGTTTTCATCAGTTAATTGAGACTAGTCATTACAGTATCCCTTTGCGGCTAGCACATTGGCTTTACCGTGTGTTTCATCCTTTTTAAAATATTGTTTTATTATTCTAGTGTAATTTCCGAAGTAGACTGAAAATTCACCCACTAAGATGCATAAAGGAGCTCCTGCTTCGGTTTGACTTAACTTATCTAGCTAGTTATGTTCATTGACAGTAAATTCAACAACAAGGAATTTGAGTCCCATCCCGGTGACTCTAGCCCGGCGTATCAATGGAGACAGCCACTGTTAGAGATATTGAACTCGAAGAAAACAGATTTCGAGTTCTCTTCATTTGCCAGTAGGACTTGGATTCGAGTTGATCGCCATCAATCCGTGATTTCCGTCGATCGAAAGCATCTAACTCTCCGCTTAAAGCTAGAGTTTTTGACTTATATGCAGATGGGGTAGTCGAATGCCCCAGGAGTAAATCTATGAGATAATAGCTCAAAAGGCAAGAGTATTAAAATGTTACCATTTTGCATTTTGTGTAACTTTTGCAAGCTGAGATATGCTTACATTGCAGTTTAAAATTGTACACTAGTTGTCACACCGCAGAAAATATAGGAGTATAAACAAATTCAATAGAGTGATATGTAAAAAGACAATAACTGTCTCTAAAGTTTGATTCATTCAATTAAAGATTGACGTAATTCATTTATAACTCGTTCCTTGTAGGTCAAGATGCGAGCCAGATACGGTATAGTGGAGTTCTTGTAAATGTTTATTCGAGAGGGTAGGTACCGATAAGAGGAACGAGTGATCGAGTGGGAGCGGCAAGAAGATAAGTCCAGATGCAAAGGATGGGTGGGGTCGTTCAGAATCTTATTAGCAAAGGTCATACAAGACTTCATATGACCATTAATAAGTTCTGTGGTTATTGACTCGGCAGAAATTAAAGATGTGCGGCTTATTATCATTAACCCACGACGGATAGTTTTAAAGCCTTGTTTCAATAGACCGAAAAACACTACAGAGGAGCAGTGAAGTAAAATAGGGAGAACGCATTATTTGACAAAAGAGAACAAAACTTAAAAGCTTGAATATTCCCATGATAGCATTGAGAGAACGAGTCGGTGAACGAACAATTTTTTCGGATATTCCTAGTCACCATATGATATGATATGTAAGAGCATGAGGAGGAATATCCGAAAACAATTGTTCGCTCACCGACTCGTTCTCTCAAAACAAAACTTGTTGGGGAGTGCGAAATTGTCTGAGCTTTTGTAGTACGAGGGCTGAGTAAAGCGTTTACGGATACACAAAAAGGCTGGTGTTACACAAGAAGAAACATTGCATTTTCTCGAAGTGCTGTCCACCAGCTTTCATGTACAGTTTCATGCGATCAAACCATTTGGTGAAACAGATCGACTATACCGAAGCGGGTAACCCCCGAACCAGTTCAATAAAGGCCTCCAATGCAGCTATTTGTGACTCGCAATCGAATTCCACACATCTTGCGCTTGAAATCTGGGATCACAAAAACGTCACACGCAGGCAGGTCTGGACTGTAGGGTGGATGAACAATATCCTGGATACGGTCTATCTCCAGAAAATGACCGATGACACAGGACATGTGTGTGGGTGCATTGTCATGGTGCAGAAAGGTCCCTCTTGCTCGAGTCCTTGAACGAAGCCTGGAAATAGCCTCCAGCACTTCCGGCAGACTAAGGGTGTTGTACCAGTCTCTGGTAACTGAGCTTCGCTGCACGTGTGGTACAGTAGCCCGTTGACCGGTTTTGGCTAAGGGTACAGCCATTATCTGCTTTGCCACACTGCGCTTGCTTCGGAACTTTTGAGGTGGCTCCCCACCAACCGGTTGTTGCTTGGTCTCTGGGTCGAAAATGAACATTCAGGTCTCATCACCACCAGTGATCTCCCAAACTGCATTGCAAATTCCACCATCAAACATGGCAAGCGTGGTGTGGCACCAATTCACCCGAACGGCCTTCTACTCCTCACTGAGCTGCTGCGGTACCCAGCGTGCCCAATCCTTTCTGAGGCTGAGCTTCTCATGTAGAATGATGTGGATTGATCCAGATGAGATCCCTATGGCTTTCGACAGCTGTGTCCCATGCCACCCGGGCATCCTCTCCCACCATCGGTTACACCGCCGCTATGGTGTCCGCTTTAGTGGACTCCATAGATCGACCACACCATGTCTCATCATCCAGGAACCGCCTTCCACACTTGAATCCCGAAAACCAATCAAACAAAGCGCTTTTTGAAGGCGCGTTATCACCAAAGACAGCTCACAACCAATCAACACTCTGCTAATGCTTTAAACCGTATTTGTATTGTTAGAAAATCATCGCCCTCCAGTGCCATCGGCTGAGTTCTATCTTTACAGTTCGAAAATAGCGACCTTCGTATGCTTTGTGGGGTGTGTTTGTCTGTTTGCATTTGGTTTTGTGAATTGCGATTCACAATAAATTACAGTTCACGTTTTCCTTGCCCTATCATCTGCACTCCGTACGCGTACTGTGTATCCGGAAACGTTTTGCTCAGCCCTCGCATGTGCAGACAAAACACACAATCTAACTGACAAATCACAGGCTGTCAAGCATAATACAAAGTACAGTGTGTGTAAAGACAAATCAATTAGGGCCTCAAATCCTTTCTCCTAAATCTAATTATTTCTCTTCTCTATTATTCAGCGACTGCATGGTTCCACCGTGGAACTCCGAGCTCTGGCCTCTTCCGTTTTATTCACTGCATTCAGGCTAACCACACAAAATCAGTGGGTGGTAAGTTGATACAGATCATTCTTATTGGACTAGTTTTTTATATTGCAAGGCTGTTTTCCACTTGAATGCTACTGATATCACGATCAAGTAGTATTATTCGGATTGTAAACGTTGTAAATGTATGTATGCGGAAATAAGATTTGAATGTAGCGAAATAGAAGGCGGCATGTAATCAGTAATAATGTTGGACTTCTATAAACCGGAAAGAATAGTTACGGTTCAAAGAACCACAGTCTAACCCCAGCTGCCTGTTTTTGGGAAATGAAACCTGGTTTTATTGGAGAATTTTCGCAACTCAACAACCTGATGTTCAACTCTTGAACGAAGTCGATTCAAGTAATGAATACACAGATTGTCGACAATGTTGGTTTTCGATGAGTTCATTTTTTAGTCTTTACAATCAAATTTAAACAGGAAAACAGCGATAGTTCTGTAGCGGGGTCAAACAGTGAAGATGAGTTTTAACATTATAAAGAGAGTACAGTTTGTTAGGCAGTCCTCAACCTCTTTTAAACTTTGTAAATGCAAGGAATCTAACAATATTATCTCTGTGAGTTATGCCACTTGAGACGTTTGACTCATCTTTTAACCGCGCACTTCATCAAAACCAATCAATCCTATTCGCAATATCGAACCATTACAGATTGCCGCATTGAACCCTATATCACTGCATTAGTCCGAAGAAGTTATCGAAGTTAAGCTTTATTCTCCATGGTTTTCCTGTTATCACTGTGAATATTCTGTACGTGTCCGTCGTTTCTCGGATGAAATAAAACGCCATATTAGACTGTTTAAGTATAGGATGAATATAAGCAAAACCTCTTAGTGACATAACTGAAGCACTAAATAGAAACTGTAGATAAAGTTTGGTCATTGTCCTCTGTCCCTCTACCAGATTCCTGATTAGTTTATCGTCAAATGCGAACCACCATTTGCATGCGGTGCTCTATCTGGTTACATCACAAACGTGCAATTCATTGGTCTCCATCTTCATCCACAATTTGTCTCTTGGTTCTGCCAGATTTCCCGGTTGGGAATGCTTTACAAATCATTGTTCATCCAATTAGAACTTCTGATCACTGTACCATTCTTCTTTACCACAAGATATATTGTAAAACTAACAATTACCTTCATACCCGACCCGCTTGTCATACTCTACGAAAAAGAAATTGTTCCCGGAGGACTTACCCAGGTTCTGGGACTCAATTTATTCTACTAACTTTTTCGTGTTCTCCGATAAGTACCTCTCTTTGTCTTGCGAACATCTTGCTGATTATCTTAAATTCTGCTCTGACCGATGTTGTCCTGTTGAAACCATTTATATTCTCGCCCCGCCTTAAGTGACTCATTCTTGCTAAAGAGCCTGTTTGCATGACCGGCAGGCGTAATAGTGTCAAAGAGCTCCCTGTGCTGATTAGAGCTGAAGTAAGACGTCTGAACGGAATATACGTTGAGACTGTTTTGGGCAATAAAAGCTGTCATGAGATGTGGACTAGCTTGCGGAAACTCTGTGGCTCACACATCAGTTCTTATCCCAGTTTTGAGGTACATAACCGTCAATTCGCTTCTGTACCTGCCTCGAGCTCCCTCCTACCTCCTTTTCCAACCCATAATGAGATAAACCCTGTTTCCTCGAACGAGGTTCTCCAAGTCATGAGGGACTCATAGCCAACAAAGCTCATGGTTCCGATCGGTCAGTACCTCATTTGTTGAAAGCTTGCGCCGACCAGCTTGCAAAACATATTGCTGAACTGTTCAGTGCTTGTTGGTCATCCGGAACGATCCCTGATTTTTGGCGGTAAGTCCGGATCAGACCAATCCCAAAGAAAGGAGCGTCAAAGTACCGTTCAATTGACTGCACATCTGTGTTACTGAAAGCACTTGAAAAGATTTTACTGCAACGCATAATACTCGTTTGTAACTTCCATGATCCTTTATAATTTGCTTATAAACCCCATCTGTCCACACTTGACGGTGTTGCCCATATTGCTCATTCTATTGCTTCCGTCTTAGACAAAGGTGAAAGTGACGCTCGTTTAGTTTTTCTTGATTATGCAAACGCCTTTGGTTCCCTCGACCGAAGAGTACTCATTGAACGTCTTTCTGAATGTGGCCTAACACATGAATTCTTGAATGTACTAATCGACTAATTCTCCCGTAGGACTCAGTTTACTTGGCTGAATGGGGCACAGTAGTCTTCTTTAACATTGAAGCTGATGTTTTTCAGAGTGTTATTTTGTCCCCTTTCTTTTTTTCTATGTGTATACAGAATCTCCCTATTTTCAGTAACTTTACTGCATGCAAGTATACTGATGATATTGTGATTGGTTGCCCATTCTCTGTTTCAGACAGTTTTCGACCTCTCCACGACAGCCTTAATGAACTTCATGATTCGTCCTTGACCTGATCGCTTGTACTAAACATAAATATGTACATTGAAGTTCCATTTAGTCTTAAAACCGGGTCCCGTTATCTTTCATTAGTAAACAATTTCCCAGACCTTATAGTTAAGAATCAAAGCATTCCCAAATCTGTATCTGTTAAATACCTTGGTGTCAACCTAACCCATGACCTATCCTGGTTTACTCATGTCATTAACGTTTTCACAAAAGTTCGAAAACTGTCTTTCCATGCTTACAGGCTCAGGAAACTGGTCGTTCCACATAATCTTATTCTTAAATTTGTGATTGCCTGCATTCTTCCACACTGGCCATACTGCTGCCCGACTTTTATCCCTGGACTGAAAGAAAAAGATTTCAGTTTATTTTCCATATCCCTTAAAGTTTTGTCCCGCTACAGTGGAGTTGGTAGCGTTGTTTTAGTTGATTTCTTTATTTCCAAGCATCTTGACGTTTGTGATACATTCATTGATAGGATAACACGTGATTAAGGCCACTCTCTGCACTGAGATATCGTAAAAGCCCTGTCAAATCCCCGGACTAGCTCCAAATATCAACTTCTTCCTGTGCGTACCTCCCTCATACAGAAACAGTGTAATTCCATGCCTTGCTCAGTCACTGGTTAATCGTAAGACTATTCTCACCCACCTCAGGAAAAATCTAGCACTATTTTTTTTCTCATTTACTAAAGTTTAGAATTTCTTATAGTCTTTTTGTTGTTGTCAATTGGCTTTATATATCCACTCTACAAATCGTAAATTGCCGAAAATTCACTCGTTGGGTACAAGAGGCGTTTCTTTACTTGACTTGATTGGACTTGTCTATCTCGGTCTCTTTGATTACCTTCGTTCAGTAAAGTCTTTTCTTTCCACTCATAGACATCCCAGTTCGATTGATTCCGACTTTTGATCCCTATTGTTTTCTTGTTGTAGGCTTTGTCCAAATCCATTCTTGAAGAGTTACTAATCTGCGCTGGAGGTTCCCACGAATCCATGTCCACCAGTACCCAGAGTTTGTTGAACGGTTTTCAAAGTTTCGCTGCCTGTTGTAGATTAAGAACGCAGCTAGCCTCAACCATCCTGTTATACAACAAAGACTCTGCGCTGATTGACGCCATGTTTTCCGGTCAAGAAAACAGCTCAAGCGGTAAAATAATTCACAGTCGTNGGATTCGAGCAGTCTAGGAGCAGCACTGGGACTGTTCTCCTCAGAAGAACCAGGGTCTTACGTGGAACACTTGATGTGGAGTGTGGGTTTGAAAGCTTCATTCGTTGGTGGCTTTTTCACTACACCTGGTGGACTGCAGTACGGAACCGCGGATCACTGCGTCACTGCAAGTCCGTGGATTACAAAGTGTCAATATCTTTTGTTCACACAGTGCCCAGTAAGTTGATTTGTTTGGTGGTTTTTCTCTCGGTGAATGGGCAGACTTCAAAAATGTTTCTGTTAATAGTAGTTTGTGTTTTGATCCAGTCATTTGCCTGTTGAGTAGTATGTTATGCTTCAACAACTATCACGCAAAAGCAGCATTTATATGGTACCGGTGTTGGAACGGAAAACGGGAACATTTTGTTCGTCGGTAAAACTTAGGTCTTAAATGAGATCCAAATGTAGGATTCTTATATTTTTGCCATATTAGTTAACCCCTAATTTTTATTGCAGCATGAAGTTATTCTCGGTCTACCCGGATGGAGTTTAGTTCAGTTCAGTTTTTACAGCGATTAACAATACACCTTCGTGTACCGGTTTTGGTTGCTGGTTTTTGTCTGCCCATCATTATCATCATCATCCGAAACATCGCCATCATCATCATCATCATCATCATTATCATCATCATCGTCATCATCATCATCATCCTCATCATTATCATCATCATCATCACTATCATCATCTGTCAATTTCTTTGATCGGAAATTCTGAAGGATATCACCAATAAACACAACTAACAAGATATCTACTACCAAATTTCAGCTGTGGAAAAACTACGATTCTGCATAAATCGAAAGCAAAACACATTTTGTCTGCTTTTTACGGTCATTTGTGCGAACTCCCTTCGGTATTGATCTCTCCCGGTCACATACAATCTCATCACTTTGCAAATATGAACTTAGTCTTTACGTATATGGACAACTATTTCGGTTTGTTTCGTTTCACGCTGTCGCGCATCAGTTATGGCTGCTGTCTCTCGGCTTCCTATGTTGTGGGGGCAGTAAAGAAAGAAGCAAACGGAGGAATTTAAGAGTTGAGAGCAATACGATGATGCTTGTGCATTTTCTTTGCAACCTCAGTCCTCATGAATTCTCTTTTTTCACCTTGATTTGAATATTCCAGTCTTCCCCTTACACTTTCATCAAATAGCCAGTCATGAAACAGCAATCAAAACCAGCGTACGAAATTGAATGATTAGCGGTCGGAGTGAAACTGAAACTAACCGCAAAATAAACGTAATGAATGCATGTGAACTAAATATGTCAATGTGTGCAGGAATTGAGTGGATGCTTGAGCTCCACTATGTACGAGATGGGGTCATATCACTTATTGCGTCTTCAACCACCAATTCGAATGATTCACAGGTCGCCAAATTTAGCGCAATTTATTTATTGACATTTTCTGGTCAGAGTTTGCATTGCCTTACACCAGGTCTTGGGTTAGCGCACGATCTGGACTCGGATACTTTAGTGGCTTCCTTAGCAAACATCGGCAATAACAACTAAGCCTTTCGATTTCCAACAATAGATTTCAAATGGTAAATTAATTTTACTGTGTTAAAATTAAATATAACTCATATCCGATTTTTTCCACATCAAGTCCTGGAATCTTACTGATGTGAAACTTTCTCTGGTCTTGGACCCAAACAAATCACTGGTCACTACTCTGTCCAGTATTCCTGGTGCTACTACGTCTTCTTCTCGGTCCTGGAATGTACTAATCATGGAACATTCATCAGACTATCATTACTCCTATGTGAGTATACCTCTGGGTACAGCAAGGAAGTCCATAAGCAGCACTGGGTCCGTAAGACGAGCCAGTACCACCAAATCTCAGGCTGTCAAAAGTGAGTCGATCAGTTTAATGCTTCATATTAGAAAAGCAAAGGAAGATTATGGAAATTTCACTTTCGTGTTTCTATTGTTATCTTTCATTGAACAGGGTTTCGTATATTTGTCAACATCAAAATAAGAGATATTTCCAACACTTCCACGGATAACAAACACGAAAATAAAAAAGCGTATTCAGTGAAACCAACTAAAAAAACACCATTGCTACCCTTTTTTGTTCTCTGTAATTTTTCCCCAACGCTCCTTCTTTATACCCGAATCCCCCTTTTTCCATTATTATTGTTGTCGCGTTGGCCCTATGTTGATTTACAAGCCGGTGATCATCATGTCATCTAATAAAAAACTAGAAGTTCCTCACATTCCCTAAAAGAGGTCAAGGCTTGTTTCACTTTAAAATGAACTCGAAGAGGATGGCTTTTAAAAGCGATCTCCGATGCTCTTTGCCGGCCATCATTTCCTTGTATCAGTCAACTTTCGTTTTTCCTTTAAGGAAATATCAAAATTGAACCCTATTCACTATTAGGAAAAAGTCAATGACAAACTGAGTCGACGAAAAAACGTATAGGTTTCATTTCGATTTTCAAATATAAAGAATGTATTTATATATATATATAGATATATGTAGCCAATCTTCATATACATGGTGCCAAAATAATCGTAGGTTGAAGAGGAAATACAGAAGCAGAACAATCTAGCAACGTATGTCAATGAACAGTAAATAATCAATAAAACTTTCCCTCTGTGCTCATCGATGGTGCCCTCACACCAGTTCCCATTTGTAATTGTTCGGTGACCCCATTAGTTTTGTAATGTCTCCTCCTCTCCTCAATGTATTCCGTTTCTGTTCTAAATTTCAGGCAGTTCAGTCGTTCATCTGCGTATTGCAACCAGTCGAAAGCGTTTGTTGCAATCAGTCTCCTCATGGAAAATCTATCTGAGCAATCTGGACAAATATTTCCGGAAAAAAAGTGTCATGGTTAATGGAAAATATGGTGACGAGGTGAGCATTTCCGGTTCCGTCCGAAATCGCTTTATAAAATATGGTTTACTGTTCCTAGGAAAAGTTTTGGTGATAGTGACCAAAGTCAAAGTTTTATTATAAGCATCACCTACAAGCTGATGCTTTTCTTGTCCCATAGGTTGCTTACACGAATAGTACTGCAACAATAATGAATAAAATTCGATATGCTGTATTCGGTTGCGTTGTGTGCTCATGAATGTTGAAATGGAATATGTGCTAATGATTCGTCAAGTTTTACCTTGAAAGAATCAATCGTCTCGGCACAAACGACATGAGATAGTGAGGAATTCCAGACAGTGCACATTCTGACGACGAAGGGATGGCGTCAACAGTCCAGTCGAGATTTTCGGAGTAGTAACTTGAATGGATGTTGCCGTAGATGAACGCTTGATGACAACGTCAAAAGTCGGTGACAATGGTGGTTTGAGTTGTGTAATATTTGGTACACTAAAATCGAATCCCTTAGAATCGGACGATACTGAGTAGAGTATGGACCCAATGATTGCAGTCTCCCCATGTATGAATCATAATAGAGTCCTGTAGCCATCTTCGTGGCGAGCCTTTGTGAACGCTCCAATATCTTATGATCACGTTGTAACCACGGATTCCAAGTTTGGATGGCATACTCAATATGCGACCGGATGTATGCTGACAGCAGACGTGAGAATAAAGATGGTTCAGAACTACCGAAAACACATTTGATTAGACCGACATGTTTGAGTGCTGTTGATGACACCCAGCACAGTTAATAGAACAGCTCAGATCTTCGTGGACTATCACACCCAAGTCCTTCTCTGTTGATGCATGAGACAGTGATTCGTGTCCGAGGAAATAAGGAAACCGCCCATGGTGGCGTAGCGGAATCACCTCACATTTGGAGACGTTAAATTGGATGTTGTTCTCAATAGACCATTTGTGAACTGCATTCAGTGTTTCTTGGAGTTCCAGCCAACCCCCACTGTCTTTCACTGTCTTCCAGATTTTGATGTCGTCTGCAAACAATAATGTTTGTGGTCCCGGGACATTCGGTAGGTCGTTTATTAACAACAGAAAAAGTCCCGGGCCAAGCACAGAACCCCGGGGGACTCAGCGAGAAACGGCGATAGGAGCGGACGGTGAATTAGAGGCTCGAACCGACATGGTCCGTTGGAGAAATGTTGGAGAAATAGGGATGTTGTTGTCCAGGATGACTATGACGTCATATCTATGATATCTTCGCAAAACTGGTATTACAAATAAGGTTGTTTTCGTGAATTTGTCATCACATATTTGAACTTGTATATTTTAAATGATAAACCTTCAGGTTTGGGATTGGGTGAACCAGTAAAAATGGAGCAAAAACACTTACCGGTTTAATTTTTAGTTGCATGCATGGAGATGTAAGTAGATAAGGGGACAAAGTGCGATATTTGGAACTCTATTGGAAACATTTGCTGAACCGATATCCCAAATTATAGGTGGCCGCGACACCATTGGGCTTAAGTTTTGTCCTGTTCATTTTGACAATTCGAGACTCTAGCAACGTACACGCTACAATCATGTTCTTCTGCCTATATAAAGATGATCTCAGGATTTTAATTGCTAATATCACTGTCCTTGTCATGTGGCTCATTTCTTTTGTGTTCCGCTGTTCGGTAGTTTACACAAAATATGGTTTACAGCAAACTCGTGAGAATAATCCCAAGATGGGTCAACTCGACTGTTTAAATCGTTCTGTGTCTAAATGACGTGTATTTATATCAACGCCGACATTCACTCAAACCTTTTTTCAGTTGACTTGTCAGTAGGTGAAAAGGATGGCATAATCGAGCATCGGTAAAAAGTACCCCCGTTCAGTTCTTAACCAGATTGATTTAGTCCTTTTGATCCTTTTTGTTAACTGCTTTCGTGTATAACTTGCTAATCTTGTGCAATCAAATGAGTATTTCATCAATAGTAAGACAGGAATCGACGGTTTATCCTTAAAATCGGACAGAATTTTCGGTGGCTGATAACCGTTGCTCTTACGTTAATGACCGGGTGCCTTTTGCTGTTTGCATTCACCAAGCGGCTTCCATTTGAAACCCGTAACCTGATTATTTCAGTTCAGTGTTTTTGATTGCTTTTTACCAATGTTTATAACCGTCAATTTGATGGGTATGCTTCTATTTTGTTTGTTTGTTAGCCAAATGTGATCGAATATGAACCGCTGGCAAAAGTGTTAAACTATTTGACGGCCCAATGGATAAACACTCCACTCTCTAAACCCTCTGCACCGACCGAGTTCAACTCAGCGGCCACAGAATACAGCTGTTCACAATTGCAGTCACCCTTACAGGCCCAAGGTTCCGCCTGTTTGTTAGCTTTGCTCAAGCAACTACTTGATTCCACAAAATCTCCATCCGGTTTGCTCATACTAACCGATTTTTGGATATCGGAACTGCCTGTGGAGGCCCTATTGATGCAACGCACAATGAAAAAACTGATGGAATATGATAGTTGGCAACGCGCTTCCAGTAATATTACCGTTAGTGCACCGGGCTCAGCTCCTGGCGGGGGTGCCGGTAGACGGAGCAGAAATTCGGGTACAAAAAGTGCCACGGCGATGTGCCAATTGCCATTCGGTTGGATCGCACGAGACTTCAGCGTGCATTGGGTTTGTTCAAGACTGTCCGGTAAGTTTAGCTCTGTACTGCAGTCGAACATGACATCAAATAGAGAAAGATGGTCGACTAAATGTCTGTCTAACAATATTGTGCTGTAGTAAAGCAATCTTTGTAAGCTTCTACACTTGCGTCTCACTGAAAAGCACTCAATGATCTTCTATCAAGCCAGGAAAAATAACTGAGAACCGTATAAAAAGATCAATAAGTTCGCGCCTCAAGTTGATAAATAAATTAACAGTAATTAAGAAGAAGATTCGAAGTGAAAGAATGAAGTGCTAGGAAC